AACGACGGTAGAGAGAATTCCTCCCGTCGAACCCGCGTAACAACAACGGTCAAAATACCTGGCTCGTGTTCGGCGTTACTCTCTTACAAATACAAGTCCCTGTAGATCTCCGGGAAGAAAAGACCAAAACCGTTGGCGACACAGTGAAGCACCGCCGTCGTGGACAGAACAGTTAAGAGGGCCGCATTGAGGTATTATTTGGTAGTCACAAACGTGAGAGGGACACTGGGAGACTCAAGCAGAGGTAACGCAGTCTCCAAAGGTAGTGTAACGTCACTGTAAGAATGGTCCTGAAGTGGGTCCAGGAAGGACTGTGTACGTCCGAGGGTGGCCGGCATCACTTAGTCTCTTCTGAGACAGGACTCCGACGTCGTCCTCGGAGGGACGTCCCCTGTCTGCATAGTGTTTCTCGTCTTGTGGTAAGTTTTAGACGTCCGTCACCGCTCTCTATTCTCAGTGACACAGTCTTATGGTGAGACTCCCCCGGTCGGTGAAGTCAGGGACTATTGTCTTTGACTAGAATACTATGACATGACATTACTAATAAATAAAATTGACAACAGTATCCCTTCTGTAGTTGACGGTCTGAGATAATTGATGTTAGAAGTTCTAAGTTATATCCTTATTTTTGAGTTCCGTACTTAATTAAAACTTTTAGAAAGCATTATGGTGTTTAAACAGAATTCTTTGTATCCGGAACAAACCTCTGTTCGCTGCGTGACGCGTCTGGACGCGTAAAGCTAGTTGCAGAACGAGCACGTCAACGTTACTACCCAATCAGTAAACAGCTGAAACCAGGACCTCCGAGCGAGTTGTACTCTGGCTAACTTTAGGAGCGCCCTGTTTCTGCGGCGTCGGAACTTCTCTCTGCCGACTCCGCTCCGCGACGTCAAGGAAGGTTGCCGGACGCCTCCGCTTTACGACTACCCTTTGCTGGAGCGACATAGAGCCTCGACTCGCGTATTAACCACCAAAAATTGGGGCACGATGACTCTTCGAGAGGTAACCGAGCCGTTTTTCAAACAACAACAAAACACAGTCAAAATACAGCGTTGACCTAGACCTATGCCATGGGAAAAGAGATAGTGAAAGGAGAAAACAATGAACTGTGTCAAAGGTTGAATACCTAAGCAAATGATTCCCCAAATATTATGACTTAGACATACTGTACAAAATCTGTGGAGCTAATTTATACACATTAATACATCAGCTCAGAAGCAGCAAATGACATAATTTGCAGAGGTTAGAAGTTTCAAGACTCCATTGCCTGATATTGTTGGATATTTCCCCCCCCCTCAGAACCCGTTCACTGACAACTCAGAGCTCCAACAGAGGACGGCACGCATGCTCAGTTTAAACACGTGGGACGTGGCGGTCGCTCTCACCAACTTTGACTGGACCATCTTTGCCTCAATACACGAGGTTTGTCCCACAAGTTGAATACTCGTGCCTGAATTGCTGCCTTTTAACCCGTAACGACCCACCGTGACACAGGTATCACGTGACATTTAAATGTTCTGGAAAGTTCCTTATACAGCTTTAGCCTTTATTTTTATCTCATGAAGTCACGTGACACACACTGACACACTGGTGGGTCATGGGCCAGGTCATTTGATTTTGTGTTTCCATAACAACATGTCCAAGTGCCAGACTAACACATGTGACAGAACTAGCTACATTTCAAAAGCTTATTTTTTGTTGCTAAAGGTCAAATTCAAGCCATTTAAGAATTAAAATGCTTACATAACATGTCCTTTATTACATTTAACCTGTTGTGGAAACATGTCTTGATCAAATTGATATGAAACAACATTTGATAAACATCGCTGTGACACTGATGTCACATCGGGACTCAACCGTGGCTTGCTCTGCCTCATGATATTGTTCCTTTACAGCAAGAACTGGTGTATTTCACCTTCAGTCGCCAGAGCAGCAGCAGCCACACGGTGGCGCTGGAGCTGCTGCTGCAGCGCTGCAATGAGGTCCAGCTGTGGGTGATGACCGAGGTGCTGCTGTGCCCAACGCTCTGCAAACGGGTCCAACTCATCAAGAAGTTCATCAAGATCGCTGCTCAGTAAGTAGCTGTTCTCACATCCTTCTGCAAGACTTATTGATTGTGAGTCACACACACTGTTGGCCATTCCTTCTCTAAGCCTTGCATGGGGATGCTGCCCCCTCCTGTGGCAGATCAATGAACTGCATTGGCTTTGGTTGCTCTGCAGGACACTGAACTGTGTGCTCCATTGATCTTTTATAGCTGTGAAGCACAGAGGAACCTCAACTGTTTCTTCGCCATTATAATGGGTCTGACCACTGCAGCTGTTAGCCGCCTCAGTCAGACATGGGAGGTAAAGATGTGTCTTTTTTAATTCTTTGTTCATCTGTGCCAGCTTTTATGAGAAGAACGTCTGAACACAAATCATGTTATTTTCTCTACAGAAGATGCCTGGCAAATTCAAAAAGCTGTTTACAGAACTGGAGACAGTTACAGTAAGTGTAATTCATGGTACTCTGTGGACACCACACTGTATATATATCTGTTTTGAAATGAATAAGCATTGATATGCATTCACTGCACTAGGGAATACAACCCTGTGCTTCAGTGTGTATGAGGTAAAACAAACAGATGTTTTTTCATTTCAGAACAGCAGGTGTTTTAGATGATTATTAGTCACTTGTGCTGCCATAACTCAGATAACAAAGCATGCATGCACAGGCACACACACTCCTCCCTAGAGGATTACACTCATTCGTTTTGAAAATGTTTTCAGGATCCCTCGCTGAACCACAAGGCCTACAGGGACTCCTTCAAGAAGATGAAGGCTCCAAAGATCCCCTTCCCTCCTCTGCTACTGAAAGGTACGCTTATTATTCTGTCACATTATTACACACGCCTCTGAGAGGAGAGCTCTGTGAAGTATCTCCATCAGGCAGGTTTGACATGTAGAAACAAACAGATATTTCACATCAAATACCTGTTGATGAAAACTAACAAAAGACTTTCCTTTTTTAGATATTACGTTCATTCACGAAGGCAACAAGACGTTTCATGATAACCTGGTTAATTTTGAAAAGCTGGTGAGTTCAAACCCTTCATAGCACTTCATGTTCCTGCAATGAAAACATCAGGCAGTGCTGAATTTGTAATGTCTAACGGAGCGGTGTTTATCTTATTTCCAGCACATGATCGCAGAGACAGTGCGACTCATCCGGCAGTGTCAGAAAGATCCCATGGGTCAGTATTCTCATCACTCATTCCTCAATTTAGGGTGTGAAATCTAACCATATTTTTGACGTTTACTTTGTAACTATTACAAATCTATGTTGTAGATTCATTCTTTTGAAGGCAAATCTGTGGACAACATCTGTTAGCTTTGAAATAAACTGTCCTCATATAGTTAAAATCAAATAAATACTCTTTACCATGATGTTCACAATCATCACATTTTGATTTCAACATAATTTGGGCAGTATTTATGATCCACAACATGTCATAAGGGGAAATAAAAGTTGGTTCCAATGGCCCTTTCACAGAATTTGATGCAATTTGTTCCCAGGCCATCAATACTATGACATCATTATGTTTAAACGCTGCCCTGGCTTGGAGCTAAACCATTTCCTGTCCCTCCAGGTAACGGCATCACCCAGAAGAGCAGCACAGAAGTGCGAGCGTACATCGACGACCTGCATATCATCGACAATCAGCAGACTCTGTTTGAACTGTCTCACAGGCTGGAGCCCCGTGCTTAGAGAGCAGCTCTCACTGCACCCCCCCCCCCCCCCCCCCACTGTGACAGTCACACTGTCGGATTGCCAAGGAACGATTTATCGCCGTCTCATCTATCTCTCAGGACTCAGTCAGCAATCAGAGGCCGCTCAGTCAGGAGAGTGACACCACAGATGGGACTACGCAGAAACAGAAGCATCTTAGGTTAAATGCACACGTGTTTGCATAGATCCATAACAGTGTCAGTGATTCAAAACGCCTGAAAGCACGGCCAGCAGATCTACTTCAACTAAACTGCCTGGAAGACATCTGTAGGTCTTGATCCATGTGTCGAAACCAAACCTGCTGCTATTACTTTAGTTCTTACAGGCACAAGTTGGCTGAGCTGTTCTCAGAATGATACAACAGCTCCCCCTAGTGGAGAAGCAGCAGGCTGCAATAACAGCACAGTTGAAGATGGAGGTGCTTCCCAACTGCTAAAAGAAAACACAGAACATGAAGGTGCAAACAAAAGGTGTTGAGTTTGACTTAAAGGTCCACTTAGTAGCCTTTTAACCACACAAATCACATCAGAAGTGATTGAGATGCAGGTTCACTCATCATGACACTGGACATCTTTTTGTATTTTTCACCATTTAAAGATCTGGCAGCGACAGTTTGTTTTATCCGAGACAACCAAAGAGTATCTCAGTCCAATATTGTACACACACACTTCTGTTTTCTTCAGACAGGATCCAGATGTTCTCTTTGCCAGATGCAGGACATGCATCAGTAATGAATCAGTACACTGTATGCACAACAAGCTGAATCAAGAGGACAGATTTAGGGAAAATGATTGTTAAATATTTAACATTTTCATATATTATTTTCATTATGTATTTTTACAGAATTCCCTTACCATATATTTTTTATCGTTGAACCAGAGTGTATGAGATGGGGCAACTCGGATGGTTTTAGAACAGTGAATTAGATAAGAATACAAAATGTATTTCTCTGATGTGGGAAAAGCTTTGTGTCCTGTCTGTGAGACATAATCACGTACAGTATGTTATTGCTAAATACCATTAAAAACGCCTGTTTAAAGTGATGCTAATTGCATAAGGATCTCCATCTAGATGAGCTGTGGACAATCAGTTATAAATGAAGCAGCAGACTCATACTGACATGTGTCCGTATTGGTCTTTAAAGTTCAGGTTAAAACACAACATAGTGCACATTGCAACCCAGACAGTGTTTGATTTGTTGAGGTTTTGAGATATCCGCTCTAGCTGTATGGTACAAAGAGATTAGCATTTGAAAAGCTCAGCAACAATCTTTAAGAAACATTAAAGACAACCCACAATACAAAGTTTTCTGTTTTCATTAAATGCTACAGAGCTGCAGCTTACAATATCTAATTTATCCTCAGTAGATGTAAGGTTGAAAATTGTAAGGGATAAATAAGTTTCCTTGTGTTTCTGGGTTTAACTGTCAGTGAAGTAAAGAGCAATAGAATGGTGCAGGGATGACGTATTTACCCGGAAATAAGCTGCGCATGGGTTCCCTTAACAAAAAAAGCAATGGGATTTCTCCATAGCATTTTGGAAAATAGCTCGAAATAAGATCTGTGGAAAACGAACAGGTCTGTTAGATAAATGCACGTTTTGTTCAGCCGGATAATATCCACATGTCTATCTTACTTTTATAATTTTCGAATCATAGATCTAATCGCCAGAAGCAAAATGCTAACGTTATGCTATAACGAACTACAGCAGGGTCGCTGCTTCAACGTCACGCCAACTTAAGATCGATTTTCAAAAATACAGACTCAAAATTGTACAAGTTGAAGCTTTTGTTTTAACAGTTTGCAAAAGCGCATGTACTTGCTTTCAAGCAGACCAGAGCAAACAAACTTAGCGGGAGTGTTTGCGTGTTCGGTGTAATGGTGACGTACAACGTCCTCGACAACTTCCATAGTCCTATTCAGCCAATCGTTAACAACCATCGTGTTTCAGACACGTACACTCTTCAAAAATCACCAGTGGGGTCACTGCTGATGTATTCAATGTTGGAGAACAAAACGTGATACGTCTCTTAAATGTGTGTCAACCTGCCACAGACCTTATTTCGAGCTATTTTCCAAAATCCTATGGAGAAATCCCATTGACTCTGAGACGAGGGAACCGGAAGTGGTAAAATCATGGGTAAAATGCTAACTCACTTCCGGGTTTTAGGACTCGTCACTGCACCACTCTATAGAAAAACAAACACTACAGCACCTTCTGGACAAAAACAGTAGAAAATAGAAGCCATTTGCTTATGTACAGTGTGTAGTAAAACTACTGTAAACATCTGTACAATGTGTAGTAATACTACTGTCTACTCCTGTACATTGTTTAGTAAGACTACAGTATACACTTGTACAATGTGTAGTTTTAGAAGATACTGTACGCTATTTATTCTCTAGATCGGTCACCTGAAAATTCTCTTTCGTCCTGAAGTTAGGCCGTTTTAAGTAGGCGTTGTGAAGTGTGTAGATGGCATTTTTTAAAATCTTGAAATAGTATTTTAATTGTTGGATTTTAAAGCCCACAGTTAAAATGGAGAGACAATTGGTTTAGCAGTATCTATGTTACTTTACATTTAATTTGTATAATTAGTTTGATTTTATTTTTACTGTATATATGTTGAAATTCTGGATACAGATATTTATTTATTTCAGAATTATTTATTTGTTCTATAGATATGACTTCAACTTCTTTGGTTTGATTTTGTGTTTTTTGTACGCACCGTTTTGGCTGGTCTGCATGATATGGTAAGCCATGGAGGGACCACCATTGTGAACTGTGCATGCAATAAAATATTTTTCCTCATCATGACTGGTTATTTTGAAAGATATATATTGACATGAATAAGGTGGTGACACTCAAACAGGCACAAAGCACTTTCTAACTCTTAATCTAGCAATGCTCTGATTATTACATACAATGTAAAAAGTAAATGTCAGCAGTGAATCATATCAAGGTCATGATACAAAATGCATCTAAGAAACCACAAACAGCTGATTTTGTGATAACCCCATGAAAAGAAGTGTCATTACATAATGCTATGTGCACAGATACACTGGCAGAAAGAGTTGATAAATACATAGGCCTAGTTGTTATTGCTATGTGTTCCAAGCGTGCCACAGATTATATTCAAATATTTCCTTCTCTTCAACGGTTCTTATCTTTTATTCTTTATTAAACCTTAAATGAGTTCACCTGCACTCCACCTGAGTCTTTGCTGCCTCTCTGTGGCTGCTGGAGTACTCTACACTTTGTGCACATATTAGCACCATTCAAATATAACTTAAATATCTTTAAAAATATACACATTGGATATATAACACGGAACATTATAATACATAATATTGTGCTTAATGAATGAATGAATGAAGTTACAACAAACCCATCACTCATACTCAGAGGTGGAAGAAGTACTCAGACCTTGTAGTAAAAGTACCAGAGGGTAGGAATCCTCTGTTTCAAGTAAAAGTCCTGCAATCAAAAATATTACTGAAGTACAAGTACAACAGTATTAGCATCAAAATGAACTCAAAGTACCAAAAGTAAAAGTACTCATTATGCAGATTCACCCATTTTCAGAATAATATTTTATGTTTCGATTATAATTATTGATCGATTATAATTATTGATGCATTAAAGTGTTATCAAATCTGGTAAAGGAGCAGCTTAGTTTTAATGACTTTGTATACTGCAGGGTAGATTGTGAATGTACTCCAGGTGGAACTAAAGTCTGATTTAAGGGTTGATATATTTCACATCATTAATCCAAATCTGTAAAGGTATTAATCAAATGTACTGGAGCAAAAGTACACGATTTATGTCTGAATTGTAATGTCGTAAAAGTAGAACGGAGCATAACATGGAAATACTCAAATAAAGTACAAGTATCTCAAAATTGTACTTGAGCACAGTACTTGAGTAAATGTACTTAGTTACTTCCTACCTCTTCTCATACTTTAGTGAAAGTGGAAAACATGAGATAGTTGATCAAAAGGGGCCCATAGCTCATCTTTACCATGGGGCCCCTAGTGGGTTAATCATGCTCTGACAATTTAAAATATTATTGAGTGTGGACCACACTGTTTATAACATTGTACACTGACTTTGGTCATATTTGTTACTTTTTCATTATGTGGGTGACAATCTCCTTTCCCCTCCCCAATCTGATCAATGATGACATGTATAGCCGCATGTCATCATTTCAGTGCTGGTTGTCTTGGTGGTGCCCAGCAAACAATGTGTGCTTCGTAAATAATTGGACAGCCTTCTGAGGAAAACCTGGTCTGATTAAGAGAGACGGCATTCATCCTACTTTGGAAGGTGCAAATCTCATTTCGGCAAACATTTCAGGGCTTTGTGGACTTAATCCATGACAAACTGGCAAGG